AAACAAAATTCTTGGGCTGGGGATATAGCTCAGTGTCATAAGTACCTGCCTGGTAAGTACAAGGTCCCAAGTTCAATTCCTGGTATCAAGAAAGAAAAAAAACTTTACATAGTCTATGTAACTATAATTATACAATAATGATCAACAGTCAAAAAACTCAGTACTGGGCTGGTGAGATGGCTCAGTGGTCTAAAGCACCTACTTAGAACAAGCTAAGCAAAGCACAGGGACCGCAGTTCAATCCCCCAGCACCACATGCCAGCCAGCCCCGCCCCCGGTGGGCTGAGCTGGCCACACACACACACACACACACAATAAATAAATAAATAATAAAAATTAAAAAAAACCTCAGTACTATAAAACAAGTTTTTATGATGTCATTTTTTGCAGTAATAGTAACTTGTATTAATAATAATAATAAAAATTAACTTGTATTTACATGAGATTTAAGTTTCTCATGAAACTCACCTGAATTAAAATTTTATATTCAGAGTAATGACTTGAATCATAGATTAATTCAAGAAATAATAGCACTCTACAAGACACTAAAATTATTACTGGATGTTAAGTTTCTTCAGTTAAGGTCTACAACAGAGGTTCTATCTTGAAATAATCCTTTCAAAAGTAATCAGACTCATCTTCTCTACTACCTGGTAAAGTCTGAGGTGGTTTTCTGAATCCCTACCATGATACCCGAAACACAATTCTCCAATTTTTCTATCTCCCTAAGGTCCCAAAACTTCAATCAAACTCCTCCTTCACTGTATTTTCTTCTGTTTTAAAGACTACATCTACACCCAAACGACAGTCATCTCCCAGATTAAACACCAAAAGCTTAATTTTGTTATCTTCAAATGCCTGCTAATTTCTCTTGGCTGTGCTCATTTTACCTCAACTTCATCAGTAAGCCCAGATTGTCATTTTATTGGTTTTTGAGTATGTATGTGTAGGTATATGTACAAACGAATACGAATATGTATTAGAATAATGACTAAGATATATCAGTTATCAATGGATGAGAAGTGTTCTAATTTTACTTTTTCCTTAGTTCGCTTAAGTAGATTCATACTATGTAGCTCAGGCTGGCCTTGAACTCTGTAATCTTCCTGCTGTAGCCTCCCAAGTGCTGGGATTCTATGCATGTGCCACCTCACCTGGTTATCCTTAGTTATGTTTTCTAAATAGTCTATTTGAAAATATGTTTGTAACAAATGCCTTTTTCCAAAAATGGGAACGACTAAAATCTTTCACTTTCTGCTGTTCTTCCCTGTCATTCTCTCAACCTTCACCCGCTGGTGACTGAGGAACTACTTTCATAAGCAAAAACCTCTGATATTTTCAATCGCTGCCATTAAAAACTCTATATAATCACTTGTTCGGGTACTAGGGATTGAGCCCAGAGCATCAATGACACTAGGCAGGCTCTTCACCACAGTACTATATATCCTCAGCCCTTTTTAGTTTGAGACAGTTTTACTAAATTGCCCAGGAAGACCTCAAACTTGCCATCCTCTTTCCCGTCTGCCTACCAAGCAGCTAGGATTACAGGCATGTGCCACCATGTCCAGCCTATTACCCTATAAATATCACATTATAGCAAGGCACAATGCCAAGACCTACAATTGCAGCACTTGGGAAGCCCAGGCAGAAGAATCTCAAATTCCAGGTAATCCTTGACTGCACAGTAAGTATAAGATCAGCCTAGACTACGTTGTTATCGTTTATGTCTAGATGTTTCCCCAAAAAATGCAGTCATGGGGCAGGATTCTAGTGTTTGTGATTAATTCATGATCCAGTGCTGGGATTATGGGTGTGAGTACTGCTCAGATTATGGGTGTGAGGGCTACATCCACCCTGGGGCAGACAGCCTGGATGCAGTATAAGGAAGAGAGAGAGACCTTTGATGCTACTGCTGTTCCTCCTCTTTTACTCTTGCTCTCTTCCTCTGCCATGAACTGCTGCTCTCTATTAGCCACTCTGCCTTGGAGCCAGCTGAGAGTGGACTAAAACCTCCACAAATTGTGAGCTGAATAAGCCCTGACTTTCTTAATTCTGGATGTCAAGTATTTTATCCCAGCAATGAGAGAAAAGTAACCATGACATATACAGTGTGACCCTGTCTTTTTTTTTTCTTTTTGCAGAACCAGGCCCTTGCGTGACCCTGTCTTCAAAAACAAAATAAGACAAAAAGTTACTCCACTGTGCCCTGCCTGCACAGAAAACTCTTCTGCCCTATTAACAGAACTTGTCCAAATCTTTCATGAGGCAAGTAAATGACATGATACTTTAAGCTTCTGCCATACATTTTTCTAGATTCTAGTGACATGGTAACTACCATAGACAAGGTTTGAGTTGGAACAGATGAAAATCTAATAAATACAAGACACAGTGGCATGCACATGTAATCCCATCACTCTAGGAAGGCAGCATGAGGGTCATTTGAACCCAGTGTAGGCAACTAGTCCTGGCAACTTAGCAAGATCCTGTCTCAAAATTTAGAATTTAAAAAAGCACTAGAGAAATAGCTCAAGGCAAAGAGCTTAATTCCAGTACCACAAAAAATAAATGCATAAAATAATATGATTTCAGGAGCTATTACCAAGTAGGGAAAGAAAAAGACAGACAGGAAACATGGTAGGTTTGAGTAAGAGGGCCTACATAAGGAGGTACACTTTATCTGGGACCCAAGAGTAAATATTAAGGAAAGATCTGAGGAAAGAGCACTCTAAGCTGAGAGAATAAGTACAAAAAGCCAGAGTTGGGAATATACTTGAGAGATAGCTGAAGAACAGAAATAGGCCCATGGTGGAATTAAAGGACCACTTCAGAGACAGTGGTGTGAAAAGAGAACAGGAGCCAAATTAAATTAAACCACAGTTCAAAGTTTATGCTTTATACCAGATGTGCTGGGAAGCCATCACACTTCTGAGTAGACAGATGAGAGGATATGACTTTTGTTCAAGAAGAAACATCCTGACTGCTGGGTAGAAAATGAATTGTGTAGAGAAACAGACCTATCAGTCAGGTTAACAGGGCAGTTCCATGAATACTATGATGGTGGTTGACAGCTATGAAGGTGGTAAAAAAAAAAACGAAGGGTGCTGTATTGGCTTCAAATCTATACCACAGTTAACTGGAGCAAATTTCTTCATCAGCAGGTCTCAATTTCATCATCAGGAAACAGTGACACTCGCAAGAGAGTTCAACTTCAGTGATTACAGAGTCCATGTCTTGCTCTTTATTGTATTCCTA